GATTTCTCTTTTGGAGTTGGGATTTTCCTTACATTAAAATACTTCCTTTATTGCCCTGAAAAGTTAAGAATCCTTTTTGTGTGGGTGAGCAGTTTAAAAGAGGTACTGTTAACAGCATCTGCATTTTACTTGACTGTGTGGTCCCTGAAGAGATGGGTATTTCTGGGGATCTGACATGTGGCGCATCTGGCACATACATTGTCCCATGCTGGCAGTTGGCATTCAGGCTGAGTTCTAGTTATGCTGAAGTCTTGTCTGGTCATGCAGTGTGCAAGGAGGACAGACGCTAGTGAACTTTTCTACCTGACACTATCACTGCAAATGTAAACTGAAGAAGTGCGTGTTCAGAAATAAGCTGTGATACATTTAAAGTCTGAGCAGAGAACATATGCAAGTGAAAAATGTGAGAGTAACCATACTGGAGCACAGGAGAGATCTATGCAACCCTGTGCCTTGACTCTGATGGCAGCAAAAAGGAAGTGCTGAAGTAAAAGTGTAAGAAGAGGTCTGGTGTACCTAGTACTACTCTGTCCTGGGTATTTACCTAGCCTCCAGCCATTTTGACCTCAGGGACTTCCTTGCCCACATAGGAGTTCTATGAATTAGTTAGGTCTGAATGGATTTTGCTCCATGAACTTGTCCAGTCTCACCTGTAACCACGTGAACTCTGCCCACAGCCTAACTACACCTTGTCTGAGAAAACTTCACCTTGTTTTAGCTTTGTTTTGAAATTGCTTTTTGCTGTTTTTCCTTCATACTCCCATTTCTTTTACTGAGAGATTGGCCCATCCTCTTTAAGACTCTAACGACTCCAAGGACCTTTACTGTCATTTACCTCCACTATGTTCTTCCCAGAGCAACAAATCCTAGCAGCTGCACAAAACCTGGTTTATAACTTTAATTATCCTCACTGCTCTTCTCTGAAATTCTTCCAACTCTTCTGTACCCTTTTTGAGATGAGAGAGCCTCAACAGCGTGCAATGTTCAATTATGAGAGCAAGCCATAGATTTACACAGCAGCATAATGACACTTTCAGTTTTACTCTTTATTCCTTTCCTAGAAGTACCCAATAGTGACTGGATTTGCTTTTCTTACTGCTTCTGAGAACTGAGCTCAATTTTGGTGGAACTAACTATTCTGAGCCCAAGATCTTGGTCCTTAGTAGTCCCAGTGAGTTCTGAACAAATCTTGTGTTAAGAATATCTTCCCCCATGTGCACTTCTGTGTCTCCATTGTTCTCAGTCAGGTCTGTCTTTACTCCCATTCCCTACCTGCTTCACTTTCTTTAGTAGTCTTAAATAAGGGAGTTTGATAGCCTGTATACCTTTCAGCCAATTCATTTTTGTCTTCTCCATTCCAGGAACATCTGGGCCACCCAAAGCCCTCTGACAGGAACTCTTTCAGGCTTGGACTGCACAAGCCTGTGCAGCTGTTTTGTCTATATACTGGCAGAGTTGTCCAGCCTGCTGTGGGGGTTCATCATACACCAATGTAGATATGTTCATTGAGATGCTTTCCAGACACCATGGTGATTGATTTGTCTTCAGTCAGCTACATATATATGTAGTAGCATGCTAGTTAGTATACTTCTTGCCAGTGTGAGTTGATAATATCACCTGTAAGGTTCAAATATTGAGCATTTCTCTTTGTATCAGTTTTTAATAACAACTGTTTTGTGGGTTGCTGTTTTTCTGCCAGTTTTGTATTTTGCAAGTCTACCTTTTTTCTTAGTACTGTATGACAATGCTGTATTTGTAATAGATGTGAAAAAAGATGCAACTGTCTAATATCTTTGTTGCATCTAATATCAGTTTAATGAACAATTATATCTTTTCTAGCAGTAGCTGCTCACTGATCAAGACTGACAGTGAAATTCGGACAGCTTAAGTTATTTAATGGATTTTTCTCCCCTTCAGGCAGTGGAACAACACATAACAATGCTGCCAGGAAAAGATACAGAAAGTAGGAAGAAGAAAAGCAGAATGGCGTACCCTAACTGAAATATTGAATAAACAAAGTGGGAAAAGGGACGTAAGTTAAAAATCAGATGTGGACAGGAGCGCAGTTGTGTAGGGGTCTTCAAACAAGAATAAGACTGCAGAGAGTTGGTGATGGCACATGATCAGGGGTGTGTCTGCGCTACAGTGAGGGGAATTGAAGAAAAAATGACAACAAGAATTATTATCTGTTGTGGAAAACACCTCCTAGCAGGAAAAATATACTAAGTTATTAATGCAAAATTAGAAAGCACTGAAAATAATATTCAACAGGAATATACCTTTTTTTCCTTGAAGTTCTTGACTGCAGGATTTTTTAGTTCTGTTTAACTCAAGAGGAAAAGGTTTTATTTGGTTGTAGTGACTTGTTGGTCATCTGAGCCAGAAGCACTTATAGTGTAAAAAACCTTAAATTTTCATATTGATAATAACTTTTTGGTATTTTAAGTTGTGGTACAGAAAACTTAGGGTTAAAGCTTGGAATTCATAATAAATTTGGTTGAAATGGAATTTTGCAGATTACAGAAATTATACATGTTTCTTTCATAACTGCAAGTTTAAGTGACAGATCCGTTTTGTATTTATAGTTTACAAACTACACAAAGGATGTTCAATTTTAACTTTGCTTAGTTATGGAGACTTTGCTGGTAGGTTGTGTCTACGGTTTGTGTTTGTTCTCTGGAAAAGCACATCTGGAGATTAATGTTTTTTCCAGACATAAACATATCAAGCACAAGTGAATCACACAAAACTATTATTGAAATATTTTCAAATCAGCAAATGCTTTTGTTTCTTTCCATCTTTGTTTTGAAAAGCTTTAAAAAATTAGGACATATGTGTCTGGGAAGGAGTGGAGAGAGAGAAAGACATTTCTGTGCTCATTTATCTAAGCTTCCAATGTTTTTTCTTGTTGTGAATCCCACTAAATGACCGAAGAAATGCAAACAACTATTTTAAAGTTGAACACGTGGTATTAAATCTTGGGCAGTTTGGAGTCTGGAGGCATGAGTGTTAAGCAACCAAGCGTCCCTAAGAATGGGCTTCTACAAATAACGTTTCATTCTATGAATATTGGTGGATTGTGATCACCAGGACAAGCCAAGTGGAGGTGCTTGAGGACTAAAAGAACAGTTGCTTTTCCTACTCTTCTTTTTACTCCAATATTTCATCTTGGATTTATTTTCCTGGTGGCCAGTAAATGTTGCTGTCCCATTCTAAACTCATTGTGCGACATAGAGGAGGTCAAGCAGAAGCAAGGGAATAGAGGTGAACTTGCATCCCTATCACGCATTCATCAGTTCATGCTAAATCAAACAAGTCAACAAAACTTTGGTACAGTAAAAATTCAGGCACTGAGTCTGCACCATGCCCTCAGGGGTGTGAAGACACACTGGGGCAGGGTTTACAATGGCAATTTAAGATGCCACCACCTTGGCCACCCATTTCCATTTCTCTCTCCACTCTGCAGGTGAAGACTACATACCACTTCCATTGGCCAGTGCTGGTAGTGGCAGAAGATGATGTCTGCCCAAGCCTTAGCTGTTCCAATTGGAAAGAGAGTGTCTTAGCAGGGGCACAGCACTGTCTTCACCATCACTCTGATTGGGGTGTCTGGGAATGAACACACAACTCAAGTGGAATCAGTGGTACTGCCAGGGTAGGAACCTCAAGCAGTGAGAGATGAAGTGACAAGGTGGCAGTACTGTGACAAAATAAACCATTTCAGACCCAGCCTGAGGTAGAGGTTGTCTCTGATTTCTGTGTTTTTGCCTGGTAAACTTAAAGGCAAGTTAGCTAAATCTTCTGTTCTCAAATAATGGGTAAAAGCATAAAGCAAAAATAAAAAAATAACGTCAGTCTCGATTCTTTTCTTCTTTCATAATGTGGTGGAAGGTAGGAATGGGGTTACTTGTGTTTCATCACTATGACTTGCAGTCAGAGTGGTGTTGTAGGGTTTAGTCTGAAGAAAGGGGAATGGAGACAAAAGGAAGAAGGAGAGCTTTTTCCCTAACTTCATTTTACCCAAAACATTACCATGTACACCCCTAACAAATCTACAACAAAACCCAGATCTTTCACTTTAGATCCTGATAGAACCTTAGATTTGCATGCTGTCATGGTGATATGTCGAGGTGATGAGGAATTTGGATGACTGAATGTAAAATAGGAAATACAAAAATATTGGGGATGTCATTTGAGAAGTTGTTTTTAGTAAAAGCACCCTTATAGCTTTATCTGATTTATAAGTTCAGCTCTGTTCCTCACAGCATTGTGTTTTCAAAAGGGAGAGCAGACAGGTGAACCCCCACTTATAATAGTCAGGGTTTTGCAAGACATGCAAAACCAAAGGAACATGGAAGTATTGTCTGCTGTCTGCAGCAACTGCTGGCTAAATGTTGTTTCTAGATTATTCTGATATATATTAGACACAAATGAGGAGGGCACACAGAAGGATGTCCGTCCATTTCATCACCCTTTGGAATACTTGGCTAATGGTTATTACATTTTCACTTCTGGGAGATATCTCTTAGGGACCTGGCTGAGAATAGGATAAGAAAGTCAGCAGAGACAATGAGTCTGACCTCTGGAAATAGAATCTGAATTACTGTAATGTAACTTCGAAAGCAGATTTATGCTATTTTGTAACTGAGATTGTCAGTAAAATTCAGGTACTGCTAATTTGCTGGACCAGCACTGCTTTCAGGAAATGTTTGCATTCTTTGTAAACTATGTGGATTTTATTCTGGTCAGAACTGGAAAGTATTTTTTAATGCTGCCCATGGTTGCCAAACACAAAGTAAATCCACAACATAAATTATTTTAAAGTTTTCTGATATGTGATGGGTAAATCCTGACCTTGTTAGTAGGTGTTTCCTGTGTGCTACTCTGGAACCAAGATCTGGTCTGAATGAGTTTGCTGAACTCAGTGTCATAATGCTATTTAAGAGAAAGATTAACTCAGAACCTCAATTCAACAAAATCTTTTTTTCTTCCTAGGTGAAATGGAAGTTCCAGATTCAAATGACCCCTTAGGTCATGCAGATGGACTTGAGAGACCAATTCCAACACCTAAAGGTAAAATTAATTGTAGTTACTTTTTCTTCCCCCTGCCCAAATATAAGCATACTTTAGAAAGGATCAGCAAAATCCTGTTATTAATGTTCACTGGATTTACCTGTGAATATGAGCCTGTAAGAAAGGCAGCCTTGTGTGACTTAATACTTCTGATTCTAAGCAGGGATAACAAGGTTACAGGAGTCTATAAAAATTAATTTTTAAGCATGTTCAGTCCACCCACACTGAGGGATTAGATGTTTGACCCACACACAGAGGGCTATTATTACCTTCCTAGCATATTTTCTGTCACGTTGGTGCCATGAAAATGATTTAATTTTGCACAGTGCCACACTTGGCATCTATAGGTAAATCTTAAGTATTGGTATCTCTAAATATCTTTGGTTTGCGATAATTAAATCTAGCCCATGGCAACACAAGAATACTTACTTTTTAAATAGCTCTGGGCATTAGTGATTTTTTTTTTCCAATAGACTGTAATGGCAGAATTTGTAGTAACTTGTTAGTTAGCATAAATTTTTATGATACTTTATCACTTAAACTATAGATCCAAATACTGTTCTTGCATCTGAAAATGCACATATTTACTGAAAATTGTGATTCAATTACAATTTGGTGCAACTTCCTAAAGCAGGACATTTTCAATGTTCTATCTGAAGAAACGTGTTTTCTTACTTGTAGCACTGATTTTTTTCTTTGTATGAATGCACTGCTGTAGTAAAGTCAACCCTTATGCTTAGAAAAAATGTCAGATAATCTTGTTAGCATGAAGAGCTAAGCCTGATTTCTGCCTTAGCATTCTCAGCAAGATGAGCTCATGTTGAAGCCTACGAGGCTCTGAGGTGCTGGTCAGATGTTCTTCTTGGAGCTTCTCTTTCAGAGGAACATACATTTTGAGGGTACCTTGGCATAAAGTCTCTGTTCTCATAGATATCCAATGTTATATAAACTTTATTGTGCTTCACCTGGATGTTAGTTACATTTCCTATGTTGACTATGTTTACTAGAAGCTTTTTTTCATAATGACCCATTAATTTCTATGCTTTAGTGGATAAAAAAAGACATGTTTATGTTTGCATATCTCTAACCACGTTCCTACTGATCATCAGTGTGGGACTGTCCCCCTCCCATTTGGGAGGAAGACTTGATGTACTCCTCTTGTCAACCCTTTTCCACTTTCTGAAGCTCCCAAATTATTTTAGAGGTTTAAACTTTGTCCTCCATTATGGGAATAAATTTCAGTAACAGTCATTCCTGTCAGCAGCACTGAATACTACCATTGTTTTATTCACTCCACACTCACAAACACACTACTTTTGATGGGAAAAGGTCCATGTTTAATCTTTGCATCTGATGGGCTTGTTTGCTTGGCAAGTTGGTCCCTTTGTACTCTTTTGTTATGTGTGAGCTTTTAAGGGTGCAGACATAAAAGAAAATGTTTTTTCATGTGACATTACTTGGTTAAATTCTTGCTGAGAAAGGAGTTACAGTTATTTCCTTTTTTTGCAGGGCCACAGGCAATACCTGTCTAAGGAAGTAATTAATCACATCTCAAACATTTCTACATCATAAGAATTTTGTATTTCCTTCAGAAAAAAAAGAGTCTCTTGTTCTGGTATGACTCATTGGTATAGAATCAGTTGTTAGTTTCCAGCATGCCTGGTCTGGAAATGGCCTCATTTTGCTCCCCTTTTATTTTTGTGGCTACAAAATTCTCCAAATAAGCAAAAATCCCTTGGTGGAAATTTTTTGTTTCTTTGGTTGGAATGTTAACCCATGTGTTTCTGTGTCATAGTAAGGTATCAGTTTTTGTTTCAAAAAATCATTGGACAGTCTACTTCACAGTTTGTGCATACTACTGAGGCCATTAGAAAGAGTCCTTCAGCTTCTTCCATCACATTGACCTCCTTTCCTTCCTTGAAAAATGTTTAGTTATTCTGATTTGTTTATGGCCTCTATTTTTTCAGACTGTAGAATAGATGCAAAGCAGGCCAGAAGATAATAGTAAATAGGCTTTAATAATGCCCAAAGTTAAAGCCACTTTAGAAGAACTAAGTGTAGTGGTCACCATCTCCTCTAAATCTTCCAGAAGTCCTGAAAAATGGTTCTGTCTCCAAAGATGTAACCAAGTTAAGCAAGGTATTATTAAGAACGTGCACTGTAGAAAAGTTGCAAGTCTCTTCCTACAAGTGAAGCTAGCCTTCTGATAGTTGATGGGATAGGACCATGACTCTGCCAGGGCTTTGCGGAGAATTTATCTTCCCCTGTTTCCTTTAAGTGAGCAGCACCTGAACCACCAAAAGAGCACTGCCTCTGAGCAATGTTTCACTGAAAACCAGAGCTGAGCAGTGAGCATTTGCTGTAGAAGAACTTAGGTCTGCTTTGGAATTAAAAAAAAAAAAGTTTTGAACACAAATCTCCTCCCAGTCCAGGGGGTCTTTGCAAAGGTGATCCTTTCCCCCATCTCAATTTCAGGTGAGCGCTTCTCGGTGTCTTTCTGTTTTGCAACAAACACTTCCTAAAAAGTCTCTTTCCCCTGCCCAATAGGCAGAACAATGTCAGCTCCATGCTCCTCTCTGGAAACACCCAGGCTCGCTGCCTGCTGAGTCTTGTGCTGCTCTCTGCCCACCTTCCTGCACTTGGCCAGCTTTTCCTGCCAGTGATGCTGGGGAAGGAGGTCATGGTGGGGAAGGAGCAAAGTTCCCTCTCTCTCTTTCTCCCTGCAGCAGAGGGTCAGCCAAGACAAGGCCAACAAGGAGCTTTTCTTTCTGAAGCCCAGAGTAGAAAAAGAACATATCTGTTAATCACAAATAAATGCAGTTGTGGCACAAGCCAAAACCAAGTTTTTCTGTGGAGATGATCACTGCTGGTGCATCATCACAGAGGGCCTCCCTGCTCGTAATTTTGTGCTTTTAAGCCTGGGGAAGGTATTAAAGGGTAAAATACAAACTCTTCATGCCTAAGTGAGCTGCCAGTAAAATCTTACATGATAAATAATGTCTTGTGGTGGGAATATTAGAGCAATACACTTTAATAGTTAAAAAAATGCATGAGTGAGGGCAACCTGCAATAGCTGAAACACTGAGTGAGTTGGGAACTTATTCTGGTTCAAGAGGTAACTATATGATAAATCCAAGTTATGACTGGACTGTCCTGGTTGCTTTGACTTGACATAAGGTAACCTGTCAGGAATCATTTGTATGTATTCTAAAAGCAGTAGCTTTTTATCTGTATGACTGGTGACCCAAAGAACAGTCCACATCCTAACTGCACTGTTATGCCCCCCAAAGATCTGCTTCTAAATGGGCAGTAGCGTAGGACAGGTGGTACCTGCCTCTTCACAGTCTCATCTGGGAGTTCAGAAAACAGGAAAAGAAAACCATTCCACCCCATAGAATTGGTTTCCTGGGCTAGGTAAGATCTTCAGTCCTTCAAGTATGAGAAAACACTGCTCAAAAATAGGTTTCCTTCTGTTAATAAGAGAGCTTAAGCCCACTGATTTCGGTGTTGGGGACAATGTGCACATTGTGGCAGTATTTCAGTGCTAATTCACCATTATTCCTGAATTGGCTATAATCTGTTCTGAAGTCCATTTCAAGTGCATGTGATCCAAATAGCTTTATTTTACATGCTTCTGGCTGCATTTTTTGCATTGAGATCACAAATAGTATGGAAGATGGGGTGCAAATAATGGGATTAAATTAGGCTGTAAAGGTATCAGTTCATCTGGAAATACTATGTGGCAGTATATAACAGGGTAGTTTCCTTAACTGCTCATGCGTATTTTGGGAGAGCTGCCAACACCCCTTCCATTTCCTAACCTGTGTCTAATATGTTGAGGGTTGCTCATCTTCATACTGCAGTTAAATAAAGCAGAAGGGTGAAGAATTGGGAAGTTTGCTTTGTATTTAGGAAAATGATATGTGCAAGAAATCATGAGTTCTATCTCCCCTCCTTATTAGGATGGTGTTTCTCGGTATATTTCCAGTCCTAATTTACTTGTGGAAAGAGTCACTTTATTGGACTCCCACCACTCACTAAGGTGTGATTGTGTGATCCACATCACCTAAATTCTTGTATTTACAGCAGTGTTGCTATACACACCTCTAGAAAGAAAGGCTTTGTAATTTCAGCAACTTTCATGTTTGTTTTCTCTTACGATAGTGTTCAGTTCTTTTATAAGCCCAGAACACTCTGCAGCTCTTTCATATTCTTTATAGATTACCTGTCAATTCTGTCAACACTTTATACTTGTTACTATATTCATAACACAGTAAATTTGGGAACACTGTTGTCTTCCTCAAGCCATTCTTTGTTAATAATCAGCCATTCCATCAGCTGAAGTATGCTTCCTAGGTGAAAAATTATGTCTTATTATAGAAAATTATGAATTTGCTTCTAATGGAAGTATCATTAGATTAATTACTCAAAGTGTTTTCCCCAAAAAATTTTTTGATTGGATATAAGATTAAGATATAGTCTTAAAATGCCATTGCAGAAGCTTGTCATTTGAAAGAGTTGTGGTGAGAGAGACTATGTTCTTGTATTTATATCTAACAAAATGAACAAAGAGTTATTTGAAGACAAAAATGAAAAAGAGTGGGGAGGGAGAAAAAAAGGAAAAGCAAGGGGCTGAGGGAAAAAAAATCCCACGTTGCTTTTTAAACAAATCATAACATACACATTTCTAGTGGTTTTGAACATCGGAAAGTTTTATGCCATGAATCTGAAAATGTTCTAAATTGTATGCAGTTATGCAGACAAAAAGTATTTGCTTTTTTTTTTAAACAGCTGATTTTAAATTTTGAGTGCCTAAAGACAAATTGCTATGAGTTGTGATGTGTTCTGTAATACTAAATAGATGGGTTTATGGGCTTTTTTCACTGCTGAATCTGAAGTTATTTAAATACTTATGTATGTCTTACCAAGAAATATGTACTCTAAAAAGTGATAAAATATATATGCAATTATTACTACTTGTTCTGAAGAGATTGTTTTGT